TCTGCACAGCAGGATTTTCCTTCTTCCTCCTGTTATTTTACTCTAAGCGCTACTAGAATGGCCCCCTCTGCTGTTTTTGTTTATGTTGTTTGTACCTGTGTCGTGCCAGCTTCAAGGAAGAAGAAGGACATCTAGAGGCTTAAAACAAAATGAGCATGTTGCAAACGCAACTTATAATGTAGGATACTCTTAATGATGGATCCTTTGCTAATTTGAACAAGAAAAGCAGGTTTTCATTAAGTAGTTAAACAAATCTCTGATTGATGGTTATCTCTAAAGATTTATCTATGAAAGTGACAAAAGAATGTCAGATTAACAGCTAGTAAGCAAGAAATTCCTGTTTTCCAGTCTTCCGTGGGAAGGACAGAAATGATCTGGATCACACTGAAATGTATACACTGACTTAATAAATCCAACGAATGTCTGCTCTGTTCTGTGGTACTTTCTGTATAACACTTGCGGTCTTCATGCTGTAGGGGTTCCTGAGGATTCACCTGCTGGAGGCCCAGAATCTGGTTGCAAAGGATAACCTGATGGGGGGGATGGTGAAGGGCAAGAGCGATCCCTATGTCAAGATTAACGTAGGCGAGGTTGCATTCAAGAGCCATGTTATCAAGGAGAATCTAAACCCAACATGGAACGAAATGTATGAGGTAAGCTGTTTAAGGTTGTTGTTTATTATCTGAGCTTTGATTTGTCTGAAGTAGTTTTTTTGACAAATGTTTGCTTCTCTTACTTTTAAACAGGTCGTTGTGAAAGGGCACAGCATCCAGGAGATCAAGTTTGAAGCATTTGATAAGGATATAGATTCTGATGACTTTCTAGGAAGGTGTGTTTCCTACTCTAAAGAATCAGTGCTGTGTTTCACTGGTCTAGCTTGATTGCAGCTTCCACTTCGAGCCATGGAAAATGAAAGATAAAACATTTTTGTTTTATTTAAAACAAATTTCCACCTGTATAAAATTAATTGAGAATACCATTTACATTATTGTTATTAATCCAGTATTGACTGCTTTTTTCACAAAGCTTGTCTCTTAAAACTCCTGACATCTGGAAATCAGCCTGAAGTAAACATGGTCATATTATGTGAACTTAAACTCGTGTTGTTGTTAATCATTTGCCTGTATTTGTGTTCACAGATTCAGTATTAAGCTAAATGAGGTCATAAGATCACAGTACACAGATCAGGTTAGTCATGCAAACCTTGAGCCACACCCTGTGTGTTTTTAACTCAGTGTTGCCTGTTTTCCTCGTACAAAGAGTTTGTCATGCTTCTCTAACAAACGTTGTCTCTCTTACAGTGGTACACTCTGAAGGATGTGAAATCTGGACAGGTTCACTTGATACTGGAGTGGGTTCCTGCAGTGTCAAATGCAGCCAGACTGGAGCAGGTGGGCCCCCCAGACCGTGTTAATAAACTCACTCAGTTCAGCCTCGTTCTGTTCATTTAAACATGGAGTAATATGCCTCCGGTCTCCTAGAATGCTGTTGAGCAACATAGCACCACACAAGGTATATTCACTTTGCAAAATAATCACCTGACCTAACTGGCTGTGCTCCATGCCACAGGTGCTGCAGCTTCAGTCTCTCCAGGCTTTTAAGAACAAAGCTGTCCCTGCTGCAGCTCTGCTCTTTGTCCATATAGACAGAGCACATTCATTATCTGTAAGTCGCCCGCAGTTCATTGATACACTGTGCACAAGTTGACAGAAACGATCCCACGTGCTGTGTAACTTGAATGCCTCTCTTTTGCTTCATAGTTGAAGAAGAGTGGAAAAGAACCAAAAGCCGGAGCTGAGCTTGTTCTGGGTGAAACAGCCTACAAAACCAAAGTGAGGCTCTTTCTCTCATGATGCTCTGCAACTCAGTGTGATAATTGCTTTTTTTTCCTGCTATATTAATCGTATCATTTCATCACACTTCATCAGCTCTGTGACCGCAGTACCAGTCCTCAGTGGAATGAGTCTTTCTACTTTGTGGTCCATGATCCTAAGCATGATATGCTTGTGGTGAAAGTAAGATATTTATCTACATCTGTTTTTAACTTTTGCCATACTTCTTGCATTCATTTCTGTGTACAGATTTAATTTGCTTACATGTAAGAGTACTAATATTGGGGTGATTTTCATTCTCACTCTCTTTTGCATCGCAGTTGTCGAGTGGCTGGGACCAGCCAATGGGATCTCTGGTGATTCCTGTCAAGAATCTGCTTGCAGAGCCACAGCTGGTTCAGGATCAGTGGTTCCATCTGGATGGAGCATCACCTGAAAGTCAAATCCTGCTTAGGGCTGAACTCAAGGTGATAACATCTGACAGATAAAAGCAAATGAGTTGACTCGTTACTGCGCACTCTTACTGTTATTCTGGATGTGTTTTATAGATACTGGCATCCAAAATGACGGATTTGATTGGTGCAGGGACTTTGCCCTGTGCTGCTTCTGGGTGCAGTTCTGGAAACGGGCAGGTGAAGCTGTCGCTTTCATACGCCTCGCAAGAGAGAAAGCTCATTGTCATCGTTCACGCCTGCAGGTGTGTGAAACAAAACATTTAAATCGCATGAGTGCTGCATATGAATATTATGCATCTGAGGCTGTGTTAAAGGAAGGTGTTTGTAATATTATAACACAACCTCATCATAACTTCATCATAAACTTACCATTTTTCTGCGTGGGGTCAAAAACAGGTCATAAAAGAAATTCATGTTTATTTTCACCAACTTTATACTGACAGAAAGATCATTTTGAATTCATTTTGCACATCTTCTGATGTGGCTGTACGAAAACTGAATTCAGCACATGATGGAAACAACACCTGAGTCCATCAGAAATGCCTGTATGTTGTTGCATTGAAAAACATTCTGCTCTGCATTTCTGTTGGTCTCTAACACTTTAGGAAAAACCCACAAATAGGGAAATTATTAATGATAACTCAAAGAATATTTCATGCTATGTTGACTGCTCCATATATTGAAGAAGAAACTGTATTGCTCTAACATACTAAATGAAAAATAATATGTCTCCATCATATGATATGACAACCTTTTCGCACGAACTGTGAGACCGTTAATTTTATAGGCTAATGCTTTATGTTCATTTAACAGATGCTAGATTTTAATAGAGTTATCCAGGGTATGAGTGATCTAATGGTAGCAGATTTTCTGTTAGGTAGAAAATATATTCATAGACATTGTGGGCTTTACCAATAGACGCACAATGAAGCATCTTTAGGAAATGCACCCCCTGTCCAGTGGATACTTGGAGTGAGAGCTGCAACTTATACTTATATCTGAGTTTCTCATGTTTGCTTGTTGTACTTTTGCTTTTGAAGTTGACTGTTCATGAACTCAAAATAACTCCCGGGAAACATCAAAGTGCTCCCACCCCTGCTGGCATGTCTTAAAACATTTTTACAGTTAACTTTTGTTCATCTTTGCTATATTTCATTTTTATATTGTTTATTTTTTTATCCACACAGAGGTCTGTTGTCGCAACATAAAGATGGTGTGGACAGCTATGTCTCCCTCATGCTGCTGCCAGATAAAAGCAAGGCCACTAAGAAAAAAACAGGAGTGAAGAAGAGAGACCTCAACCCAGAATTTAATGAAAGGTTGCACTACCTTTTTTCTCCTTTGTAGGTTTTGTTATCCCTAAAGATCTGACCTAGTGTTTTAATAATCTTTTTGTACTTTCTTAAAGGTTTGAGTATGATCTGCCTAAGGACGAGATAAGATTCAGACGCCTCAGTGTATCAGTGAAAAATAACTCCTCTTCATTCAGAAGCCGAGACGTCATTGGACAGGTCAGACTGAAATCATATTTGTGGCTCTTCCTGCATCTGTTACATGGCTTTAAATATACTGCCAAACAGCACACTGAGATTCGGTTGGGTAAAATGTACTCCAATCTCCTCACTGTGCCTTAGCTGGTAGCGTAAATTGCATTGATTCCATAAATGTGTTTTATCTTTTCACTCTGAAATGCTGTGAATACAGGCAGAAACTGTGTTCATGCAGATGCTGACATGACATTCCCATTCTTTAGGTGCAGCTCGAGTTGGCTGAGGTGAACCTCGTGTCTGGTGTCACAGAATGGTGAGCAGAAGAGATCTGGTTTCATCCAGACTGTATTTACATTTATTCAAATGCTCAAGCTTGATGGTCATTATTTCTGACCATTTTTATTGACCATCAGGAACTCTTACTATCATTCAATGACTGTTCCACCTCATCTTCCAGGTTCACTCTCAAGGATGAAGCTGAATAGAAATCGCTGCTTGCTGATGCCGTAGTACAGCGATGAAAACGTCATCATTCAAATCCTGCTGCTGCTAATCACACCGATGCCTTCTCCTCTGTACTTCTGCACACAGTGCCAGCATGGCAGCCTTACCTGTATCCACCCAGCTCACTGTGTTATAGCATCTAGTATAGAAGTGCACAGCTCTCGTATTCACATACAACCACATACATACAAGTCACCAAAGATAAGTAGAAAGAAGCAGCTAAGTTAAAAAAGAAGGTGTAAGTAAGTTATGATTGAAAATTATATGAAGAAATTGAATTTAAAGACTGAACAGAGAAAGTGATGGATGAAGTGGCCTGAAGGTGTCATGTTACATTTTATTGCTTTGTTTGCTCCTTGTTGCTGTGAGAGTGTTTTAAATCTTGTTTGAAGTGCAGCAACATTATAGCTTTTAGTTGATTTTCATGTATCACTCATGAATTTTAATGCCATTTCAGTATTTTAATCTTGTTTT